AGAGACAGACAGACAGACAGACAGACAGACAGACAGACAGACAGACAGACAGACTGACAGACAGAGAGACAGAGAGAGAAACAAAGAGAGAGAAAAAGAAAGAAGGAAAGAAAAAGAAAAAAGAGTGAAGACGCAGAGAAATAGAGACAGAAAGGACAGAGAGAAACAAAAAAAGAAAAAATAGGGAAAAGACAGAAATCCAGACTCACCACAAGCTTCACAGCTGGGTAGCTGATAGACGAAGTTGTCGGGGTCTACCACCTTCGCCGTCTTCGTCAACATCCTGTCGAGAACTGTTGACTCCGGCTCAAAGCACAGGTCCATTCTGGTGAAATGTTCAAGAGATTGTAAACAAACAAGTGTATTCTAGTGAAATTCTCAAGAGAACATCAAAAACACAAGTATTTACTAGTGAAATACTCAGGAAATTGCAAACAAACACAAGCGTATTCCACTGAAATACTCAAGAGATTGTTAGTTTAGTTTTAGTAGAGGTTTTATGGCGCTCGTAACTGCATAAGGTGATATGAGCGCAAGAAGATTAGAGGTGTTACAAGAGAGTAACAAACAAAAAAGTAGGGGATATAAGGACGATATATGTTTGATAGGAAAGAAAAAGCAAACCACAACAGAGCGCCCGCCAGCCACCCACCAAGAGATTGTAAACAAACACAAGTCTATTGCACTGAAATATTTAAGAGATTATTAACAAACAACCAGTCTTGTTTTGTTTTAGTGAGAGTTTAACGCTACTTGCAACACAATGAGGTCATACAAGTGCCGAAGATTAGAGGTGTTAGTTAGAGGTGTTACAAGAGAGTAACAAACACAAAAAAGAAGGAGGGGAGATCAGGATGGCAGATGTCTGATAGGAAAGCAGGAGCTACCACATCAGAGCACTACCAACCACTAGAAACAACAAGTCTATGTAAGTGAAATATTCCAGAGATTGCAAATGAACAAAAGTCTATTCTAGTGAAGTATTTAAAAGAATATAAAGTTACACAACATAGCACACATATCCCATTTTATTATTAACATTATTATTAATATTATTATCACAATTATTATTACAATTATTATTACTATTATTATTACTATTATTATTACAAGTATAATTACTATTATTATTACAATTATTACTACTATTATTATTACTATTACTATTATTATTATTACTATTATTATTATTACTGTTATTACTATTATTATTACAATTATTGTTACTATTATTATTACAATTATTATTACAATTATTATTACAATTATTATTACTATTATTTTTACTAATATTATGATTATGATTATTATTGTTATCATCCGCATAAACTCATTATTAATATATCATTATCATGATCATTGATACATTTTAGTTGCTGCAGCCGCAACAATTTCAATAACTACTTTTATTATTATTATTATGATCATTATTATTATCATTATCATCATCATTATAATTATTATTTACAATGAGTAACTGCACAATAATATGTGAGGCAGCATGATGAAATCAGGCACTCGTCAAAATAATGAGAGGGGGAGGGAGGGGGGAGAGGGGGAGGGGGGGGGGAGAGGGAGAGGGGAGGGGGAGTAAGAGGGGGAGGGGAGGGGGGAACAGAGTTACCTCATAGCGTTGGCACGGCACAGAGAGATGAAGGCCGGGTACGGGTTGGGGGAGGGGTGACGGTGGAGGAACAAACCCTCCATGAACTTCTCCCAGGTCTCGTCCAGGTGGGTGTCGATCACGTACTGGACACACACAGACACACAGACAGACAAATAGACACATGAGATAATAGGTAGGTAGATTGCATTTATAATGTGCTATGTCCCATACTAGTATAATAATAATAATAATAATAATAATAAATAGCATTTATACTGCGTATTTCCATTTCCTAAAAGATGGTCAATGCGCATTACAATGAAAAAGACATCACATCTTAAAAATTAATCGACACAAATGTGTACGTAAAACAAAGTATTATACATATAATATAAATGCATATGTGTAAAATTTTATACCAGAAAAACAGTCTCGCAGTGAGGTTGAAAATGTGTTCACTAAAATATACAATGCAATAAAAATTCACAGTCAAAATAAAGTTGAAACGTGAGTAACTAGAAACATTCATCAAAACATTAATATAAGCTCTGAGTGTTATACACCAATGACATGATCATTGAGCCATTCACACAAGAGAAAATATTTCACAGAAGCAAGAAAAACCCATTTAACAATATATAGAAATTTTTTTTTAAAATACCATACCAGCACTTACTAATACACTATAACTAAGAATTAAATGTGAGGCGTGCTGACAAAATGAGTTACTTCTCACAATCCACAAACAGAGATATTGGCCGCAAATCGACACTAGGGTCAAATTTTTAGATTCTCTCTTGATACCATATTCTTTAAGTGTACATGCCTTACATTATTTCATACTTATAAATTGTGAAAACGTCACCTATAAGCGTGATGTAGCGATTCCCATAGGGCTCAAATCCGAGAAGTAACTCATTTTGTCAGCATGCTTCACAAATGAGTCTTGAGCAATCGCTCCAACGTATCAAAGTTTGTTATTTCTCTGAGATCCTGGGCCAAGGAGTTCGAGATTTTAGGGCAAAAAAAAATGAAAATAAAAAGGGTCACATACAAGCCAAATCGACTGTTTTATGTTTTGGTAAGAGTTTTACAGCACTTGCAACACATTTAGGTTATATAAGTGCCGAAGTTTAGAGGTGTTACAATAGAGTATCAAACACTTAAAAAGAAGGAGGAGAGATACGGACAAAAGATGTTTGATAAGAAAGAAGGAGCAAACCATTTGGCTAAAGACAAACATGTGAAATGATTAAGGATCACATAGTTTTTAGTTTTAGTAGAGGTTTTTCGGCCTCGCAACTGCACAAGGTCATATGAGTGCCAGAAGATTAGAGGTGTTACATGAGAGTAACAAACATAAAAAAGAAGAAAGGGAGGTATTGTTTTAGTAGAGGTTTTACGGCGCTCGCAACTGCATAAGGTCATATGAGCGCCAGAAGATTAGAGGTGTCACAAGAGAGTAACAAACATAAAAAAGAAAAAGGGGAGATAAGGACGATAGATGTTTGATAGGAAAGAAGGAGCAAACCGTACCAGAGCACCCGCCAACCACCCACGAAGGGGAGATAAGGACGATAGATGTTTGATTGGAAAGAAGAAGCAAACCACACCAGAGCACCCGCCAACCACCCACAAGGATCACATACTGACCAGACAAACAGACATGTGAGACAATAAAGGGTTATATACGGATCAGAAAAACAGAAAAACAGACAGTTGAGATAATAAAAGACTACATACTGACCAGACAGACAGACAGACAAAAGAACAGACACATGAGATTATAAAGAGCCATATACTGACCAGACAAACAGATAGACATGACATGAAATTAAATGGAATCACACACAAAGAGTTCAAGCCATCAAGCTCCTTTCACATAGAAAGAGTTGACTCATAAAGTCCCTTTCACACAAAAAGAGGAAAAGCCATAAAGTTCCTTTCAAATAGCAAGAGGTTAATCTCAAGTTCCTTTCACACATAAAGTGCCATTAACATTCCTTTCACACAGAAACAGTTAACATGTAAAGTTCCTTTCACACAGACACAATTAACATGTAAAGTTCCTTTCACACAGACACAATTAACATGTAAAGTTTCTTTCACACAGACACAATTAACATGTAAAGTTCCTTTCACACAGAAATAGTTAACATATAAAATTCCTTTCACACAGAAAGAGTTCCCCCCATAGCGTTCCTTTTACACAGAAATAGTTAACATATTCAGTTCCTTCCCCACAGATAGTTAACATATAAAAAGTTCCTTTCCCAGAGAAATAGTGAACATATAAAGATTCCTTTCACACAGATAGTTAACATGTAAAGTTCCTTTCACACAGAAATAGTTAACATATAAAGTCCCTTTCACACAGAAAGTTAACACATAAAGTTCCTCTCCCACTGAAATAGTTAACATATATAGGTCCTTTCACACAGAAATAGTTCAAGCCATAGAGTTCCTTCCAACCTTTACCTTCATCAAGACGTTCTCCTTCGCTATGATCTGAGGGGCTTCCTTCTTCACACACTGGGCCACCACTATAGCTGTAGACACAGACACGGACAGACATAGAGAACAGAAATATAGCCATTAATTTGTCTTTTTAGTTTTAGTTTTGGTTAGAGTTTTACTGTACTTGCTTTTTTTAGTTTTAGTAGAGGTTTTAGTTAGTTTAGTAGAGGTTTTAGTTAGTTTTAGTAGAGGTTTTAGTTAGTTTAGTAGAGGTTTTAGTTAGTTTAGTAGAGGTTTTAGTTAGTTTAGTAGAGGTTTTACGGTGCTTGCAACACAAAAAGGTCATATAAGTGCCGAAGATTAGAGGTGTCAAAAGAGTAACAAATACGAAAAAGAAGGAGGAGAGATCAGGACGATAGATGTTTGATAGGAAAGCAGGAGCTAACCACACCAGAGCACCCGCTAACCACCCACAACTTGTCTGTAGTTAATAAGGCGTAAAAAATTTTTCGTTAGATATGCTGCCAGGCACTAGTGGCAAAAATATGAACTGATAAACTGTTATTATCATCAGTGTTTTATTATTCAGATGAAAATTACTATAATGGATTTACAGCAATTAATTTGTCTTTAGTTAAGGCGTTTTTTTTGCTTCTTCTAGAAATGCTGTAAGGCAGTAGAGGCAAAAATATGAGCTGATGAATTATCATAATCACTGTTTTATTATTCTGAAGAGATTGACTAGATCTATAATGAATATTAAAGCAATTAATTCGTCTTTAGTTCAGACGTTTTTCGTTATTTTTTTAAAGAAATGCTGCCAGGTAGTAGAGGCAAAAATAGGAGCTAATAAATTATTATTATCACTGTTTTATTATTCTGATGAGAATTATTATAATGAAAATAGCTATGAATTTGTCTTTACTTAAGGTGTTTTTTATGTTTCTAAGAAATCCTGCCAGGTAGTAGAGGCAAAACATGAACTGATGAATCATAATCATCAATGACTTATTATTCACATGAGTATTACTTTCATTATTATCATTAACATTATTACATTTATAATCAATGCTTAAAAGCTACATTATTGCTATTTCTCTCTGTCCCTTGTTCTCTCCGTTTCTCTGGCTCTATCTCTCTCTTGTGCGCACGCTATCGCACATGTGGGCTAATGCCAAGTGTGTAAGTGTAAAAAAGTAAGAGTTTGTGTGTGTTTGTATGTCTTTGTGAGAGTTGCGTGCATGAGAGTGCATGCGTGCATGCATGCGTGGGTGCGAGCATGAGTGTATGTATGTATGTGTGTATGTGTGTGTGTGTGTGTGTGTGTGCGCGCGCCGGGTGTTTGCATCTGTCAGTCAATCTGCGCATGAGTGTTAGTATGCATACGTGTGTATGTGTGCATGCATGCCTGTGTGCAAGCATGTGCATGAATATGTGCGTGTATATTTGTGTGCCTATGAGTGTGTCTCACTTACTACTGTTCATATTTGTGTGCCTATAAGTGTGTCTCACTTACTACTGTTCATATTTGTGTGTCTATGAGTGTGTCTCACTTACTACTGTTCATATTTGTGTGCCTATGAGTGTGTCTCACTTACTACTGTTCATATTTGTGTGCCTATGAGTGTGTGTGTGCGCATGAGCATGTTTGCATGTGCATGCCTATCTGTGTGCCTATGAGCGTGTAGCACTTACTGCTGTTCTCGTGTTTCATGATGTGTTCATCCTCAAAGCCGTGCTTCATGAAGACACTTTTGGGAAGCCGGTCCTGCCAAAAATGGAATGGATCAGTAGTTAGCTACAGGAACACAGGGAAATATTTTAGCTTTAGTTTTAGTAGGAGTTTTACGGCACTTGCAACCCAATAAGGTCACATAAGTGCTGAAGATTAAAGGTGTTACAAGAGAGTAACAAACACAAAAAGAGAAGGAGGGGAGATAAAGACAATAGATGTTTGATAGGAAAGAAGGAGCAAACTACACCAGAGCACCCATCAACCATCAACAAACTCAAAAATGTTAAAATTATCAATATGTTAAATTTACCACAGAGCTTTGTAAGTGACCTAACCGTGTGATTGACATAACCGTGACAGCGACATACAGTGTCAGCGACATCTCAGTGTGAGCGACATAACTAGAGACGGGCGGGAAGCGCTTTTTCCTTCCCGAGCGAGAAGACCGAGAAACTGACCTATTTCTCGCCAGGTCCCGAGAACGAGAAATACTTCTCGTCTCGTGTCTTGAGCAATGCTTCTCGTCTCGTGACCAATTTCTCTTCTCACCCCACAGAACGAGCCACTCGTTTAGCGGGAAGGCCGGTCGTGGCGGGGG